ACTCGATGCATTTAAACGGTTTCTCTCCTGTGTGGATCCTATTGTGGTAGGTAAGACTGCTACTATCATTATAACATTTTCCACACTCCAGGCATTTATAGGGTTTTTCCCCTGAGTGAAGCCTTCGATGGTACCTGAATGAACGATTATGTCTAAAGGTTTTTCCGCACTCATGACATGTATACGGTTTCTCCCCAGTGTGGATCCTCTTGTGGATACCAAGGCAACCACTTGTCCTGAAACTCATGCCACACTCCATGCACTTAAAGGGTTTCTCCCCTGTGTGAATCCTTTTATGGATCCTCAGTGCTCCAGAATCACTGAAGCGTTTTCCACACTCGGGGCACTGATAGGGTTTCTCCCCAGTATGGGTCCTGCTATGTATGACATAGCTATTTTTTGCACTGAAGCTGTTTCCACACATGCGGCATTCGTATGGTTTCTCTCCAGTGTGGAGCCTTTTGTGATGAGCGAGGGACCGCAAATCAGTGAAGCATTTGTCACATTCAGGGCACTTATGAGGCTTTTCACCTGTGTGGATCCTTTTATGGACAATAAGACTACGTGAATTACTGAAGCTCTTCCCACACCTGGTGCATTGATATGGTTTCTCTCCACTGTGGATTCTTCTGTGTGATGTTAGATGATCGCATTTACGGAAGCTCTTTCCACACTCCAAGCATTTGTACGGTTTCTCCCTTGTGTGGCTCCGTTCATGGACATGAAGGCCACCAGAAGTGGAAAAGTGCTTTCCACACTGCAGGCATTGAAAGGGCTTCTCCCCTGTGTGGATTCTATGATGGGATGTAAGGGTTGAAGAACAATGGAAGCTCTTTCCACACTCCGTGCATTCAAATGGTTCTTCTCCCGTGTGGATCCTCTCGTGTGATTTAAGATGAACTTTTTGATTGAAGCTTTTTCCGCATTGCAGGCATTGATAAGGTTTCTCCCCTTTATGTATCCTATTATGTAAGGTTAGAGCACCACTTCTGCTAAAGCTTTTTCCGCACTCCAGGCATTCATAGGGTTTCTCCCCTGTGTGGATCCTCTTATGGGAAGTAAGAGTACCTGGGGCACTGAAGCATTTTCCACACTCTGTGCATTTATACGGCTTCTCTCCAGTGTGGATCCTCTTATGTGAATTGAAATTGCCCTTTTGTGCAAAGTTTTTTCCACACACGGCGCAATGATATGGCTTTTCCCCTGTATGGATCCTATTATGGCAAGTGAGGTCACTTGCAGAGCGGAAGCTCTTCCCACATTCCAGGCATTTACATGATTTCTTCCCAGTGGGTCTTTTTTTCCGGGAATTCGGTTCCTTGCTTTGAGTAAACCTCATTCTACCCTCCCTGCGTCGGTGCAACCTTTCCTGTCTGTGGAGGCTTTGATGGGAAGTAAGGGAGGCGCTGCTTCCGACGGTCTTTCCACAGGGGAAGCCTTGATGCTGCTCCTTCTCTTTGTGGACCCTCTTGTGTGAATTAAGATGTTTTTTCTGCCTGAAGGTTCTTCCACAATCCAGACATATGTGTGGATCCTCTGCTTTGTGAATCTTTTTATGTGAAGGAAGACAGCGGCTTGTATCGAAGCTTTCTGCACACTCTGTATATTTGTATGCTTTCCCTCCTTCTTCTATTCTTTCACGTAAAGGAGGAGGAAGGCTCCTTCTGGGGTGTTGCCTGCTTTCATCTTGTTTCTCTCCAGCAGGGCTTTGGCAACAGTCACATCTTCCAGATTCATCACAGAGTGTTTTCCCACACCTTGAACACACTTCCTTTTCATGGCAATCATCTGCTTCCAATAAGACATCGGTATCTGGACAAGGTAGATCAGAGCAATTCTCCAGCTCCCCCGTTAACTGGATTAGCTCACAACTTGGCTTTCCATACATCTTTCCTACAACTTCCTTTTTGTCTTTTGGCAAAGGTGCTGCTGCCTCTTGGCCCAAATCCTCCATCTCCCATCCGTCACCTGGTTGCAACAATAAAAAAAGTTAACACAAATTTTAGTGCAAAAGGGATCAAGCACCATTGCTCTATATGAATAGTATCAAACTTCTTCCAAACTCCCATTTGTTCCAAACATTGTGCTGTGTTGGTATTAATGTGGGAAACAAAGTTGTGTTTAATTTTTTTTTACAGAATTGTAAAAAGACATGCTGGCTTGTGAATAAAATACATTGCAGATGTTTCTAATCTCATGAACTCGGTTGAGAGTTACTCTAGAGACAACCCCTGGGAACTAGGACCATAAAAGGAAATTCGTAAATAAGGGCAGGGGGAGATAGAATTAGAGTCATGGGAGATGTGATCAGGGGTGGAGATAATGTATTTAGACACTTTGGATAGGTTGTGACATCATTATTACTAAGCCGATGAAGAAGAGGTGGGAGGTAATTTGGTTAGAATATAAGGCAAATGTATTGATGGTTAGGGCGTATACAGTGTACCTGCGTGTGTGTAGTTTGCCCACCTTGCAAAGAGAATAAAATTACCATTGTTTTCTCTTGGAAGTTTTGGCTGGTGATTGTTTATTTCCAAACTAGACAACAAATTCCACATTAAGTTAATATAAGATTTGACCTTTGGCTACTAAATGTCAGTATCTTAACAGTATCTCTCACCTAATGAGGCCACGTTCCTCTTGTTTTCCAGCATGACCTCCTGGTACAGGGCTTTTTGCTCAGAGTCCAGCAGGGCCCACTCCTCCATGGAGAAAAACACAGCTACATCCTCAAATGATACCAAATCCTGACACAGGCAAGGGAAAAAACACAATGTATTTCATGAATATTCCTAACAATGAACACTTCAATGGATTACATGCGAGTCTTCTTCTTAATTAAAAACCTCCACAGTTTCCAGGTAGGGCCAACGGGCATGTAGGATATTGAATATAGTAGCTGGAACAGTAAAGTCTACAATTGGCCAGAACACAATTGTAACTGATTCGTTAGAGAGTGCTTACTTATGCAGGATGGAATGTACACTACGATTGGTTGCTATAAGTAGAAAGGGGCATTTCCCCCCTTTTCCCTCCTTTTTCCCTTTCTGTGTTCTGCATGGTGGTTTAGATTTACCTCAGGATGTTCCTGTTTTCCTATCTTACCTTCTTTCTTTTGTGGATGATGACAAAGATTGCTGTAAATTTGCATGTTAAATCTATTGATATTTACATAAAGAACTACAAATCCAGATTATGTGTCTCTGACTTCATCTTGACAGCTGCTTGCAATTCCTTGACAGACATCTGTTCTGGAGAACTTTTACAGAAACGAAGTGCCTCTGGCTAGAGATACATCTAGTTAATGTTTTATTGGTTTGGTTGATTCCACAGGAGCAGCAACCCCAAATTACTTTGCTTTCCACTGATGAGCTAGACTTTGGGTAAGTTGGCCAAACCCAACATCAATTTTACCCACCATGGTGACCTGATGAATCATGCCGAATCAAGGGAAGTGGGGTTCAACACTTAATTTCTGTACAAATGTAAAGCTTGGACTTTATTTTTCACCTTGGGCTTGGTAGTAGTGCTGCTTTATAAAATCTTAGTAAGGCCACGCTTGCAATATTGCATTCAGATTTGGTAACCACATTACAAAAAAGATGTTCAGAGTTTGGAAGCACAGAAGAGCAGCTAAGATAATTAAAGGCCTGTAGACAAAATATATGAAAAACTGGATATGGCCAGTCTAGAGAAAAGAAGGATCAGGGGAGACACAATAGTAGTGTTCCAATATTTCTGGGGCTGCCCTAAACAAGAGGGGGCTCAACTTATTTTCAAAAGCACCAGAAGGCAGGAGAAGAAACCGTGGATGGAATCTAATCGTGGAGAAAGGCAACCTGGAATTAAGGAGAAACTTCATGACAGTGAGAACAATTAACCAATGGAAGGGTTTGCCTTCAGAAATTGTGGGCTGGGGGTTTTTAAGGAGAGACTGGACACCCACTTGTCTGAAAGGGTATAGGGTTTTCTGCTTGAATTGGGGGGATGGACTAGAAGATCTCCAAGATCCCTTCCAATTGTGATATTCTGTTATTGGGAGATTGGCACACCTGGGGAGGGGAGGGGAGAATCCTCTTACCTGCATTGGAAGCTCAGCCGCTGTTGATCCTCCATTACAAAGAACTGGGGTTCCGGGAGATGAAGCCATGGCCACGAGAGGGTCTAGGAGAGGGGAACAAACAGCAAAGGAATAATTGGCTATGAAACATCCTAAGGATATTCTTGAGCATCCAGTGCAAAAGGCTGATTTTAGCCTATTTCTTGGCTAACTAGGGAACCCCTTCACGGGAGTCCTTTGTAGCCACAGCAACAACACACAGAAGCTCATTCTGGGTGAGAGGAAAACCGAAAGGTGTGGAAGGACCAGGAATTGGATTCAGAGGCAGATTATCTCAGCCATGAATGTGTGCATTAAAGGACTACTAGTTGTAAATCAGGAGTACTTGGTCTGGCTTGGCACCAACAAAAGAGGCAGAGTCCAATTCTCTCTGAGTCACACATATACTGGTAGTCCTCAAATTACAACTTTTCATTTAGTGACCATTTTGAAGTTACAACGATGCTGAAAAAGTGACTCATGTCTGCTTTTCACACAGCTATTGCAGAATCCCCACACTCACACCATCAAAATTCTGGTGCTTGGCTACTGACTCCTATTTTTGATGGTTACAGCATCCTGTGATCCCCTGTTGCCACCATCTGGCAAGCAAAGTCAATAGAAAAGCCAGATTGTCGTCACCATCGCTACCTCAACAGCTGTTGGTAACTCAACAACTGCAGAGGTTCATGTAACAACTGGGGCAAGCAAGGTCGTAAAAGGGGGGAAAACTCACTTAACAACTGCCTGGCTTAGTATCAGAAATGTTGGTCCTAAGTGTGCTGGTAAATCAACTATACCTGTATTCAGGTTTGGAAAAAGCTGAGTTCTCTCATAAGGCTAAGAAAGACCTTGAATTATTTCTTCAGCACACTTTTATATTGAAGCTACTTAAGAATAGAATAGAATAGAACAGAATTTAGAATAGAATAGAATAGAATGCTTTATTGGCCAAGTGTAATTGGACATACAAGGAATTTGTTTTGGTGCATATGCTGTCTGTGTTCATAAAAAGAAAATACACATATTTCAAGAATCATAAGTATAATACTTAGCAGTAGTCATAGGATACAAATAAGCAATGACATACTAGGAAACATAATAATAAGCTAGGGACTATCAAATCATACTAGTAAACAGTCAATAAACATCGTAAGTATACAAGCAACAAAGTTATATTCATATATTCATAAGTGGGAGGAGAATGGTGAAAGGAAGGATGAGAAGATTAATAGTAATGCAGATTAGTAAATAGTTGGACAGTGTTGAGGGAATTATTTGCTTAGCAGAGTG